GTTTACATTAAGCTTATAACTTCATTTTCCAAGGCAGAAGGGAACACGCTATTTATTCCAGCATTGTCTCCTGCCGAGGAGTTCACTTTGTGCCATGGAAGCACCTAAGGTTTTGTCGCTAAAATATCCAACTTGCACCATTCAAATCCACCTCGAAAGGACAGAGGCCTCTCAGGAGAGAAGCACCCCCCTGCCTGTAAATCCATGCGGAGCAGGAGCCCAATGGTTCACGGGAAAGACACTGCACGTGTCCACAGCAGCGCACTGGACCCAACGGAACAACATTCCGGTCGTGCCGGAGGGCTGGGCTTGGCCAAGGTCTTGCCAAGCAGATGCTGTGCTCTAGCAGCACCGAAACGCAACCTCCTTAGTGCCATAGGTAGGAAAGTGCCAACCGCTTCGTCGTCGATGAAGGAGGAGTCAGGGGCCATGTCCTGGGGTGGTCCCTGGGCTGGTTCCATCTCCTGGTAGTAGCCACTGCTGTAATAATCCTGAAAGCAAAAAGCAAAGTTCATCCCTGCAGGGAAAGGAGCCTGAACAGCAACAAACACAGACCTTGAGACCCAGCTCCAAGCCTCACACCTCGCTCTGAGCTTCTGGTTTCTTTCTCCCCACCACCACCTAGAAGGATTTCATTCAACCTCTGGAGGTTGCACCAAGTTACACACGTGCCTCCTTCCAAGGCTAAGGGAATTCTCATTCCTTTGGCACCCGCTGAACAGCGCAGCACATTTTTAGAGGTACTCAGCAGCAAACACTTTGCTGCATTCCTGGAAGGAACCTGCCTACAGAAAGCAATTCTGGCAACCCCCAGTTCTGCACCTCGACAACAGCAGGGGCAGTTCTGCAGGGGCATTTTAAAATGAGAGCAGCTATTAAGGATTTATCCGGCAAAAAGCCTCTCTGGCTCCCATCCCAGCAGGATCCTGTTGTGCTGAACATCTCTGCTTCTTGCCCCAGATAGTTCAGAGGAGATTTCCTTGAGCCACAACCTGAACCAATTCAAAGCCCCTGTTCCCAGGGCACTTTTCAGAAGGCCCCATGGAGCTTTCCCTGCTCCGAAGGCAGCCTTGAGTGCCAGAGCCCTGGCACAGGCTGCCCAGAGAGGCTGTGAAGTCTCCTTCCCCGGAGACCTTCCAAACCCACCTGGATGGGCCCTGTGCTCTAGTATCCCTGTCGGAGCAGGGGGTTGGACAGGATGATCCCTAGGGATCCACCCTCAACCACTGTGGGATTCCGAGGACCTCACACCCACCTGGTAATAAGCCCCAGTCCCGCTGGCATCCGTGTAAGCAGGGAACTGGTTATAGGGCTGGCACTCGCCAGCGTTGGGTGCCCAGCCGTGCTGGGCGCCGCTGGAGCCCGCGGCCGTCCTGAACTCCAGGGGGGCATCGGCGGCAGCGTCCTGGAATTGCGGCTCCGGCTCCGTCCCCGGCGGAGGATCCTCGGAGCCCACTGTGCCCGAATACACATAGGTCTCAGCGCTGCCAACGCTGGGCTCGCTCTTGTCAGACAAGGAGAAGTAGTTCTCCGGCTCTACCTCGTCGTCGCTGTCCTCCTCCTCCTGCGTGATCTGCTTGGTGACCTGGAGGGCAGCGCTCTTGGCCGCCGCTTTGATTGCGGAGGGAGAAGGAGTCGTGGCCACGGCCGGCTTGGACAGAGGTTTGGCCTTCGAGGAAGAGCCCGGGGCCTTCGGCGGCTTCGACTCGGAGGCGTTTTCTGCCGCCTTCCTCGAGAACGCGTAGGGCAAGAGCAGCCGACTGGGCTCTTTCACCGTCAAGTTTTTGGGTTGAGGAAGCAAAGCCGACAAGCCAGAGCCCTCGCCGCGGCCCTGGTCATTTCCACACAGGGGAGGTGGTCACAGAAAGAGGAGAAATGAGCAAAACTACTTAGTTTTTCCCTGCCAAAAAGTCTCCTCTAACTTTTCCTCTAACTATGTGGCTGGGTTTCCCATGCTTAGCACAACCACCTGCTGTTTGAACACGCTGTGGGGCTTTCTTGCCCAAAAAGGACTTTTAAAGGAAACATCTGCCCCCATTTCCCAAATTAATGCACAATTTAAGTCAAGTAGATTTTCCCCAGAGAGGGTTTTCCTGCCCCAAGGGATTTCCAGGACATCAGTCCCTAAAAGCCCCACACTAATCATAGCCTGCCTGGCACTAATGGAAGCCCAAGATCCATCCCAACCACACGCCTCCTTCCCAGGAAATCCGCTTCATTTAATATCCTAAGGATTTACCTGAAAAGTAGTTTTCTTCTTTGCTGGTTCATCTTCCTCTGAATCTGACTGAGGAAGAAAAACAGAGCTTAGCACAGCCTGAGACAACCAAGGCTACAGTCAGAAACCAGCATTTAGAGAGTTGACAATTCAGCCTTTTTAATTATAGGAAAATCCACATAGAGCAAGAAAAAGAACACATTAAGAGAGGGAAGGACAAAGCTACACGATGTAAAGATGTCCAAAATTCACTGCAGAAATTAATGGGGAATGGTTCACAATAACTTTGGAGCTCTTAAACATCCATTAAAATCTTGAACGTAAAGCCAGGTCCTCTCTGGCATCACAGAAGGCCTTTAGCATCTTTATTGTTTTACAGCTTTGCAGAGCACTTGAAAGAGATTACAGTGAACTGGCAGAGCCCTCGTTTCCCATCTAAATTATGAAATACAGTGAAGAACACACAAAAATACAGGCAAATACAGGCTGCAATGCTGCAGGACTAGAGCTAGTTTTAAGATATTTCTCTCTTTCCAACCTTCATTTACCAGCTTGAAGGGCAGGGGCAAAGGAGGAGAAACAAATCTCCTTTCATTTGCCCACAGCCCCTGCCAGATTTCAGTGACACTCATGAGAAACTTCATGTTTGTTTTATTATGAAGTGTCTTTCCAGCAAAATGTGGGCCATATAAACCTAATAAACCCATATAAACCTAATCAGTTTGCCTGAAAAAAGCAACCCAACGAAGTCCCATTACCTGGAGCACTGGGATCCTCCCCAGAAGCAGCAGGAAGGATCCCAAAGACCCAGGAAACTGGAACTTGAGAGGGCCCTGGGGCCTCCGTGACACGGGGCCACTCGGTGCCACTTCCTCTTGTCCCCCAGCTTTTATGTCCCCCTTGGGGAGCTCCGGCCGCCCTTGGCTCCCCGTTTAATAATAATCTGGCCATAATTCTTCCAAAACAGGGGGGAAAAGCCCTGCACGAGTGCCCCTGTCCTGCCACCAATGCTGCCAACAGGGAGAGAAAAAACGGAGCGTAAATGAGGCAGGAGAAGCCCCTGGAGCCTTTGGGTGAGGAATAATTTGATAGGAAAACCTCTGTGTTCGTAAGCAAACGGGAGAAGAGGCCACCAGGAAAGGGAGGCCGACGTGGGCCGCCTTGGTGGCCAACTCGGCCGCGCCGGTTCCCAAGGAGGCCCCGGTGTCGGGTTTAACCGGGGAGCGGGCCCGGCTCGTACTCACATCCCCCCGGCGCAGCTCGGGCACCGGGATCCGCACCGGCTCCGTCCTCTTCTTCGGCCGGGGG